GAGGAAAACACATACAAGTATGTATGGATTTAGGAGCACTTAGGACTTTAGAGGCATGGTTTCATTGTAAGTATTTCTTAATCTGTGTAGTAACATGCCACATTATAATACAATTGGAATGTATTTGTTAAAAGATGTCATACGGCAAAACTCCATTTCCATTCTCTGGTTGTCAACAGGAATGTAGTCTAAGTAATAGGAAACTAAACTTAGGAATATTAGCATTTTCCAAATCACCCATGAATTGCATCCCAAAAGTTTAATTATAAGTTGGTTTGGCGCTGGGCATGGTGACTCATGCCTGTCATCCCAGCACTTTGGGAGGCCGAGGCAGGTGCATCACCAGAGGTCAGCAGTTCGAGACCAGCTTGGCCAACATGGCAAAATCCCCGTCTCTACTAAAAATACAAAAATTAGCCTGGCATGGTGGCGGATACCTCAGGAGACTGAGGCAGGAGAATCACTTGAATTTGGGCAGCAGAGGTTGCAGTAAGCCAAGATCAAGCCACTTCATTCCAGCCTGGGCGACAGAGCAAGACTCCGTCTCAATTAAAAAAAAAAAATTGGTTTGGCAAAACTGAGCAGACATTTTCCTGCAGAAGCTATACAAGATAGCAAGGATCTCAGGGCAGTTAGCAAACGTTTAAAGTACTTAACTCATGGTGTATAATAGCCCCTCCCCTGCCTGGATATTACATTTTTGAAAAAAACCACTAAGGTAACAAAATTCCCCCTCCCCTGCCTGGATATTAGATTTTTGAAAAAAACCACTAAGGTAACAAAATTCTCAGTTGGAAGAGTCTAGGGCCTTACAGTCACAAGTGAACAAAAGTACTTTTTTAAATATATTTATTAAAAATAAGTAAATGGCCAGGTGCAGTGGTTCATGCCTGTAATCCTAGCACTTTGGGAGGCTGAGGCAGGTGAATCACCTGAAGTCAGAAGTTTGAGAGAGACCAGCCTGGCCAACACGGCAAAACCCTGTGTCTACTTAAAAATACAAAAATTAGCCAGGCGTGGTGGTGGGCACCTGTGGTCCCAGCTACTCGGGAGGCTGAAGCAGGAGAATCGCTTGAACCTGGGAGGCAGAGGTTGCAGTGAGCCAAGATCACACCACTGCACTCCACCCTGGGCTACAGGGCGAGACTCTGTCTCAAATTAAAAAAAAAGAAAAGAAAGAAAGAAAATATGCCCTCTTACTTGCTGTATTAATCTGTTCTGAAGAAATACCTGAGAATGGGTAATTTATAAAGAAAAGAGGTTTAATTGACTCACAGTTCCGCATGGCTCGGGAGGCCTCAGGAAATGTATAATCATGGCAGAAGGCACCTCTTCACAGGGTGGCAGGAGACAGAATGAGTGCAAGCAGGAGAAAATGCCAGATGCTTATAAAACCATCAGATCTCCTGAGACTCACTCATTTTCACAAGAACAGAATGGGGGAAACTATCCCCATGATCCAATTACCTCTACCTGGTCCCGCCCTTGACACGTGGATTATTACAATTCAAGGTGAGATTTCCTTATTCCTTTTCATACTCACTGGGATCTTACTTAGTGGCCTGAGCTAGACCAGGGATTCCAGTGAAGTGAGGGCTGGGAGTGAGTTCCTGGGGCCCCAGGGTAGGGATTCTGTACTCTGAGTAAGGGATTTCCTGCCAGTGCTAGTACTTGGGAGTATTTTAGTCCCTTAAAGGCCCCTGTTACCTTCTCTCTTGGTTCCAGAAGGCTGATCTGTCTTTTCCTCTTTCCAATGTCACTACTCAAAGTTTCTACCCCTCCCTCGTTAGACCATGATGGAAGAGAACAAGTCTTAACAGCCTCTCAATTCAGTATGCTTTTAATGAGTTTAACTTTGAGCCAGGTACTGTGCTTATAAAGACAGAAAGATACATAAGACAAAGCTCCTGTTCAACAACAATTAATAATCTAGTAAGGAGTAGAAATGGTGAGAGGAGCTAGGTAACTACTGTTTACAGGGTATACTGTGACCAAAGCCACAATGAGTTGAGGCATCACAAGAGAAACCTCATGCCCTTTTTAAAAGGTTAAAAAAAAGTCTTCCTATATTTCAAGAAGAAATGATGCTCGGAGATGCTGATGATAAATCCTGGTACACGAAGACTTGTAATGGATTGCTTTATATCAATCTAGATGGGTGAAAGGGAGGAAGAGAGTGGAGAGAGGAGTCTTCGTGAATTTACCCTTCATTTTCAATTATTGGGGGTGGGGATCAGGTAGCAGGAAAACCTCTCTGCAATTTAAAACTAGCTATGGATAGTCCAAAAAAGGGCCCTTTCCCATCATTAAAACAGCTTCCTGATGACACACTTTCCTTCTCTCCTCTAATCAGAGGATCCACTTCTTGGTTGTTGCAACACTTTGGGATACAGTGGGATGGATTATAGGAACCAATAATTTGGCCTGACTTCCATATATCTTTTCTCAAGATTGTCTAAACCATCATTTGTCAAAATCACAAGTGATCAAAAAGAAAGAAAAGATTAATGCTATTTCTGTAATCTGCAAAGAGATGTTATATATAAAGCTGGTGCAAAGTAATTGCAGTTTTTGTCATTAAGTGATTCTAAAACTGCAATTACTTTTGTACCAACCTAATACATATATATGTACATACAAGAATATGTTTATACATGCATAGGTGTATATATATACACCTATGTATGTTTTCAGAGTTTTTTTTTTGTTTTTTGGCTCCTCCTCTACATTGACTATCTACTCAGATCCTTCTCACCATTACCAGAAGCACACAAAAATGAAGTCTGAAGGCCATGATTTCTTGTGAAAAGAAGAAACAGAAAAGTAACTTAATTAGTAAAGAAAGTCTGGACTGGAACCCAGATTTTTTTTTTTCCGGCTTACTACAACTTCCGCCTCCTGGGTTCAAGTGATCCTCCCACCTCCCCCTCCCAAGTAGCTGGGATTATGAGCATGCGCCACCAAGTCCAGCTAATTTTTGTATTTTTAGTAGAGACAGGGTTTCACCATGTTGGCCAGGCTGGTCTTGAACTCCTGGCCTCAAGTCATCTGCCCACCTTGGCCTCTCAAAGTGCTGGGTAATATTACAGACATTAGCCACCTTGCCAGGCCTGGAGCCCAGATGTTAAGAGATATAAATTGGCTGTCTTTTCACAAGGCTACACTCTCATGCTCATCTCCATTCCTCCATGCAACCAGTCCACAAAGCTCACTACATCACCTTTCCCATACACATCTCTCCCTCCAATATTCCTGTGGCTCCTTTCTCATCTCCACTAACACTGAAGTCTATTGCATTACCAACCTTCTTCCTCTCTAAAAATATCTTCCTCTTCACTTCTTATTTTTTATTATTTTTATTTTATTTTATTTTTTTCTGAGACAGTCTCGCCATTGCCCAGGCTGGAGTGCAGTGATGCGATCTCGGATCACTGCAACCTCCACGTCCTGGGTTAAAGCGATTCTCCTATCTCAGTCTCCCAAGTAGCTGGGATTACAGGCATGTGCCACCATGTGCAGCTAATTTTGTATACTAGCAGAGATGGGGTTTCACCATGTTGGTCAGGCTGGTCTTGAACTCCTGACCTCAAGTGATCCACCCGCCTTGGCCGGGATTACAGGCGTGAGCCACCGTGCCCGGGCTCTCTTCACTTCTTGCACACACTCATCCTGTACTGTCTCTGCTGAACTTTACACACAGACTTCTATGGAGTGACCATGTCATGCAGTACAGAGAAATGAGTTTAAAAAAAAAAAATTAGAATCATGTTCAAATGAACATTCTGCCTCTTACCATTTGTGTGACCTTAGTCATGTTACTTAACCTCTCTAGCCTCACTTTTCCCTTCTGCAAAGAGAAAATAATTCCTAACTCACAGGGTTTTTGTTTTTGTTTTTGTTTTTGAGACAGGGTCTGGCTCTGTTGCCAAGTCTGGAGTGCAGTGGTAAGATCACCGTTCACTGCAGCCTCTCGACCTCCCAGGGTCTCCCTCATTGAGTTTTAAAAGGAAGCAAGCATATGTAAGGCGCTTAACACAGTATCGTGTACTTAAAAGGCACTTAATAAACAGTAGCTATTACTATGAAAATAATATTTACCTCACAAAACTGTTCCTACATGCCTGACACTTAAGTAGCTCCTCAAAGTATGAGTTTTCCTCTTTCCCCGTCCTTGAAAAAACTTTCCAGTTCTTTCCAACAAAGATTCAGAACCTAGTTCAAATCCAACAAAGATTTCCCCAATTCTGCTGCAAAGGCATTTGTATATATACTAAAATCTCAACACTCACGCAGGATAAAACCTACTTAGAACTGCCCAGACATCTTTTCTTATCTTCTTAACTTTAAGTCACTGGAAGAAAACAATCACATTTTGCAAGTCCCCAAAAGGCATGTCTACATAAGCTCTAGGGAAGGAAATCGGGTGTCCAGATGCATTTCAGAATTACCATAGGTTTCTTCGTTCGGCATACAGAATAAATGTTTGTTACACTAATGATACAACCGAAGTTGGGAAAAAAAACTTCAGACGATGGCCCGCAAATCTCAAGGAGTAATTGCGAATAGATGCCACGTGGTGACGTGGTCTAGGCGGGTGATCAGTGAACAAATTTTTGCGTGTGTTCCTGGGGTGTGTGAATGTGTCATCGTGTGTGCCTGCGTGTGTCTGTAAAGACTGAAAGTACAGTCGTGTGCGCCGAGAATTCTCAGCGCGGGTGTGCATCCCTTTGGACCCGGGTGCGTACCGAGTGAACAACCGTGTGAACCCTCACAGGATTGTCCTCCACGCGCTTACCTCTGCGGACGAGCAGGTGGACGCCGCTGGGCGCCGCCATGTTGGCGTCGGTCACGTGGCCGCGAGCACTCGCTCACCGCCCTGCCAGCTGGAGCCGGCCAGTCGCATCTCTGCCGAAGCCCTGAGGCGTCGAGGCCGCCCGAGGCGAACGCGCGTGCGCGCGTGGGGCTGACTGCGGGAGCCCTGGCGGGGAAGCGACTAGGGCACCCGGGCAAGCAGCAGAACCTGCGGCCGGCTGAGTCCTCTCCAGCCGCGAGAGGCGGGCTCCAGCCGCGGCTCTCGCGCTCGCTCTGAGCCCCCGCGCCCAGGTGGGATGGAAGAAGCCTGTCAGGTAAGCGTGGCATCCAATATTTATAGCATCAACATTGTGGTGCATGGAAACGTGAAGTTGGGCGGAAAAAATAAAGCACAATCTAGTGTTCAACATAGCACTTTGTATCATCTGCCACTCTGTTGCAAATTATTCCCCTGGATTCAGTTGAAAGGTAAAATTTGGTTCAAAGTCACCAGCTTCCCTTTTGCTGTCCCAGAATCTACATTACTCAGCAGAGACTCCAGACAACACAGGATCTGTGTGTCGCTGCAAAATCTATTCTAGGTACCCCAGTGGGTATGCTCAGGAGACTTCTCTTTCCCCAAGGACGCCTTCTGTACTTGGCAGTAATAACTGGAGTCTTAATCCTAAACTTGGAGTTTAAGTATAAAAGGATGACGCCTGCCAATTGCATTGCCAAGAGATGAAGCCTGCAGAAGGCCAATTGTGAATCAAATGAGGGAGCTGATGTATGCCTACTGATGACGGTGCCCATTTTTACCAAATTCACTGCCTCTCTTACCTGTGTTCTGGGGTAGATGCCATCCTGTCATGGACCAGGTGTTATTCATCTTAGTAGCTTCCGTGCCTGGCACAGAACCTGATACCCGAGGAGTGTCAGGTGAAGCAATTGAACACTGCATGAAACCAGTCAAACTGAGAATGTAACCGTTTCCAGACTTTAAATGCAGTAAAGATTGATAAGGATTCTCGGTGAATGTGTGTGATGTCTTCTAATTAATTTTTAAGCACTACTAACTCAGTGAATAATCTAGACAATTCAGAACAATTCAGAAATGAGTTAAGGAACAAGTGCAAGCCCCTTCCTCGCCCTCTGTACACACCACAGTCCCACTCCCCGGTTAACCACCGTGTGCTCAATCCAGATCTTTGCCTTTTACACACAGGCAAATGTAAGTATTTTAAACAGAATCATATACTTACTGTTATGACTTGCTTTTTCCATTCCACTCATCATAGACATCAAATCTTAGAACACTTAGTTCAAACTTACTCTTTTTAATGACTACATAATCTTGATATTTTTACTTTTAAAGAGAGTGAATGTTGGCATTTCATTAGAGGACACAGGCTATAATTCTTGGAAACCTGGTTTTGGATGCTTTTGGGTCACCTTGAAAGATAAAGAGAAATAATGCTTTCCAACAAGGTAAATAAGATGTACAAGACTGAGAATAAAATGTAATCCTATGGGTTACTTCAAGCCCTACCTTTCGCAAACTCATTTCAATTCCAGGGAAAGCATTTTTGAATGTGGCAAGTCTTTCCTCTGTATAACTGAAGCCAGCAATCTGAGTGCAGCAAAGGAGCCTGAGAGTTAGCTGGCCACAGAGTCTTAAGAAGTGTGCAGAAAAAAGAAATCTAGATGTCCCTAGCAAAATTCCTTAAGGCATCAAGCCCAGTTTCAAACACATTTGAAAGAGAACACATGTTCATGTGATTTAACTCAGCCAACCCTTGGAAAATAAAGGAATGCTTTATTCCCCTACAACTAGAAGGAAAAGGAAACACTATGAGGACCCAGGTGGCACCAGCAGTAGTGGAATCCAGTGAGGAAATCCTCAATAAGTTCAGCATGGAATGTATATATCTGGGATGAGCTAGAAATGAAGCAAATATGAACTTGCACAGGTGATAGCTCATCCACTGACCCTGGATCTGGCTTCTCTCCCACACATCCTTCTCACAGTAGAAGGGTTAAAAGCTGCCAGCACATGTCTGCCAAAGCCATCAATTTATAGGATATAGGCCAGGTTTGGTGGCTCATGCCTGTAATCCCAGCACTTTGGGAGGCAGAGGCAGGCAGATCACTTGAGGCCAGGAGTTGGAGACCAGCTTGGGCAACATGGTGAAACCTGTATCTACTAAAAATACAAAAATTAGCCAGGCATGGTGGCGCACACCTGTAATCCCAGCTACTCAGAGGCTAAGGCGGGAGAATCACTTGAACCTGGGAGGCAGAGTTTGCAGTGAGCCGAGATCCCGCTGCTGCACTCCAGCCTGGGCCACAGAGGAAGACTCTCTCAAAAAAAAAAAGGCGGGGTGGGGGGGCGGATATATACATAGTGACCAACAAGGTAAAGGGCTGGATCACTGATATCTAGGATCCCTTGCAATTTTAACATTCTGTGATCTTGAGCATTAGAGTGCTTTTATTTAGATGAGTAACCACTACTGAGTCACTTCTCTACTCCATTTCTGTCCATGCTTCTATCTGTGAAATGAAGGTTAATTATATTATGGCACTTCACTGATTTGAATTCTCACCATTAGTCAGATTATGTACTTGGGATTCTTGAATAAAAAATCGAATAGTTCGGCCGGATGCAGTGGCTCACACCTGTAATTCCAACACTTTGGGAAGCCAAGGCAGGAGGATAGCTTGAGCCCAGGAGTTGGAGATCCAGCTGGGCAACACAGTGAGACTCCATCTCTACAAAAAATTTAAAAACTAGCTAGATGTGGTGGCACATGCATATAATCCCAGCTACTTGGGAGGCTGAGGCAGGAGGCGCGCTCGAGCCCATGAATTTGCGGCTGCAGTGAGCTGATTGTGCCACTGTACTGTAGCCTGGGCGACAGAGCAAGACTCTGTCTCAAAAAAAAAAAGTTGAATAAATTTTCAAAACCAGGGTTCAAGAAATAAAGGATAAGGTAATACCTTCAGTTTATGTCCAAAAATTCATTCTTGAATGTTAAAATATTTTTATTAATTGTGATTATTATTTTATAGGTCTTTACCTTGATTTTCAGAAGACCATGTCTTATTCACTTCTTTTAAAATCTTTTTATTTATAAAATGTATAAATCAAATAAATTCCGATATGCATATTTTTGAAAAGCCCATTTTTCCTTCCTCTTTCTTGAACTTAATGATATTATAGACTTATACCATGAGTTTTTCTAAAGTTGTATATAGTTTGTAATAAAATTTAAATTATGCAGGTTCTGTAATGTATGTATTGAATTTTTAATTGAATATTTGCATTTTTAAATGCTCTAAGGGATTATGCGACATGAAGTAAATAATTTTTTTTAAAATGTTTGTCTTACAGTAAATAACATCATCTTGTAATTTGTCTCACAAGTTTAGATTTATTTATATTTTTATATATATATTTATATATATATATATTAGGATTACTATAATATATTTGAAAACACAGGCCGGGAGTAGTGGCTCACGCCTATAATCCCAGCACTTTGGGAGGCCAAGGTGGGCTGATCACCTGAGGTCAGGAGTTCAAGATCAGCCTGGTCAACACGGCAAAACCCCATCTCTACTAAAGATGCAAAAATTAGCCAGGCATGGGGCGGGCACCTGTAATCCAGCTATTCGGGAGACTGAGGCAGGGAGAATTGCTTAAACCCGGGAGGCGGAGGTTGCAGTGGGCCGAGATCACGCCACTGCACTCCAGCCTGGGTGACAGAGCGAGACTCTGTCAAAAAAAAAAAAAAAAAAAGAAAGGAGGGAAGGAAGAAAGGAAGGAAGAAAGGAAGGAAGGAAGGAGGGAAGGAGGGAAGGACAGAAGGAAAGAGAAAGAAAACACAGACCGTGAAATAGGGGCCAAGGTGCTTACATAGCTGTAGTAAAAAGCTGTTTTATATGAACACATTGTAAGATTAACTGATATAATGTGACTGCTAGGGGAAACTGGTACCCTGGGACCACACAGCTTCAGCGCAGTTGTCATCTAGACCTCATTCTCCCTTCCTGACCCTGCCTCATTCTCCCTTCCTGGCCCTGCCTCTTCATTTTGCCATCTGAATCCGTAAAGTTAGCCTTTTGATTTGATTTCACGATCAATTCTTAGCAACTCTGTGGTTGGAGAAGAATCTCCAGTCTTGTTCTCTAGCTTCTCTAATTTTAATATGTTGGTATGCTACTTGTTTACATATTTTAAGTCAAATGAACATTCTTTTCAGGAACTAGGAGTCCTGCATAAACATAAACTGCATGTACAACAAAGATCTGTCTTAGTAGCTGATTGGGCCCCTCTAAAGTTAGGGTCTATGTTTGAAGGATTATAGGTTCAGGCAGACAGTTTCTAGGGCACTCTCAACTAACTTGCTGGCAGAATGTCATGTTTCCTATACCAATCATTTGAAACAATCATGAATATATTACTGAGTAATCTAAGGGTACTGTTAGAGAAAATGTGTAAATATTTCATGTTTTGCAAGGAAAAGTAATGCCATATGTGAGACAGTGTGGTGGCATGATCCTGGCTCACTGCAGTCTCAACCTCCCGTGGTCAAGTGATCCTCCTGCCTCAGCCTCCTGAGTAGCTGGAACTACAGGCACACACCACCACATCCGGCTAATTTTTCTATTTTTTGTAGAGACTGGGTCTCACTGTGTTGCCTAGGCTAGTCTCAAACTCCTGGGCTCAAGCGATGCTGCCACCTTAGCCTTCCAAAGTGCTGGAATTACAGGCATGAGCCACTGTGCCTGACACTATTTGCTGGACTTTCTAAGGAAGATACCCATTTTTATCACAACCAGTCACATAGGTATATAGAATAAAAGACAGCAGACTAGGCAAGTCACACACGAAAGCATAGGAATGCACAATAATATTCATGTCTTTATTGCAGTCTACTGTGCATTCTCTCTCTTCCTTTTGCCTTCGCTCCGCACCTGTTTCTCTTCTTTCTTTTATTTTTCCCTCTCTTGTAAAATTACTTATTTTCTTGTGGCTTTTTTCCCTTTCCCTCATGAAGTGGTGATATTGGTTATCTTCTCATATTTTTCCATTTTTGTTTACTCTTTTGCTATATTTATGGTTCTGTGTTTGCTGTTACGTTCTTAGTGGTTTTGATTTAAAATATTTGGTCCTGTAGGACTGTGTGAGGCCAGTGCCTATGGAAAGCAGTTTGATCATTAATATCAGAGGATGAAAATATTTGTAATTTTGCCATTTCCTGCATATAAGTATGAAATAGTGTTCTTTAGTCAGTTAGCAGTTACACAAAAGAGACTGCTATAAGAATCT